AGCAGAGGGTGTCTGACTATACCCTCCTCCAGAATACTGGGTCCTTCGTACCATCCATCTTCATAATTAAAAAGGGCTGCTCAGCTGGTCTCCCCAAGCAACTTAATGTCTCCATCACCAAAAAGGGAACTGACTGGCAATTGCTAAGATATACTCTCTCCTTAAAATCTTTATAGACCTGCAGATTTTCACGGTTTATATTTTCTTATAACATCTAAGAAGAAATGAAATCTTAACTCCAAACTTGTGCCTTACCCCTCATTCCCTTGCGTTCTTGCGCAGGGTTATATATCAGCATGAGCTTTTAGCATATCTTGCAATGCTTCTTGAATGCTTCTTGTGCAGCAACTTCCCCTATCAGATAAAATGTTAGAGGACAAATTAACAGTTATTTGTGGAAAATGGCTCCAAAAACTGATAAAAATCTGTCTTGTGTCATAACTAGGAAGCTAACTGGGACATGGTTCAGAAATTGGTGTGGAATTAAGTGGAGGACTTTGTAGTGTGGTTGAAGGAACTCTCCTTGCCACCTGTAGAGATCTAGTCCTGGCTGTGAGGCTGATGGTAGACTTCAGAACCCCCGTTTCCTTAAAACAAAGGAGAGTTAATTGGGTTAAGTGATATCCAATATTCCCACCAGCGGTTATGTTCTAGAAGGTAAGCTCCACAAGGTCAGATTCACTGGCATATAGTGAATACACCAGGAGTGTTGTCAAAGGAAGCAGTGCCCATCCAGCCAGGGACCACCAGGAACATGCCTGCAGGTGAACGGCCTGGGCTGACTTGTGGCAGTGGAGCACAGCACGCACCGTGGAACCATGGACCACCTCAGGAAGAGGGTGCTAGAAAAGAGTTGTGGGATGTAGGTTTGTGGTAGGTGATTCGGGGAGGACCCAAGGAACAGGGACTTTGCTCTAGGTTGGATGTTGTCAGGAAGCAGAGGTCATTCGATGATTGGGTTTCTTCTAAATCTTACCTAGGAGGGAAGGCTAGAGAGGTTAATGCTGTAATTGGCAAAAAAGAGCAGTCATTCATAGTAGCCAGATTTGAGGGATATTTGGTCATTTTTGTGGCTGGACGATGTTCTGTTTTTGCTGTGTTCAGATATGGGACTTCAGAGAGGTCCTGTTTTTATTATGATTCATCATGGTGATAGAGTGGCCTCGTCTGATGCCGACGTACTGTGAGTAACCAGCTAGCTCCTGGCAACACTGCAGCCTGCTTAATGAAGATCAGGCTAGATCCCAGGTATTAGGGACTACTTTTATCTTTCTCACAAGTAAGCTAGCCAATAAATAATTAGGAAGCCATTTTATCCAGTGTGGATATACATGTAATAATGTCTCCTTTTCCAAAGTTTGACTGAAGCTGATTTGATTCTCAAATGTATTACAAAATATACAGTTAAGATGGGTAAAATTTTAAGTGTGAAGGAAGCCAGAAAATTTAAAACTGTATACTTAGAAAACCTCTCTGGAGTGGTGATTTATTTCATTTATCCTGAGTTAATTATTATGAGGAAATTTCATATGACATGGTAAGTATAGTTCAGAGATTGTTCCAAGACTCCATATTGCTGATGGGAGAGCAAAAATGATATCCTTCTAAAGGACGATGGTATTATATCAAAATTGTGAGTGACTTGTTCTTTTGACAACACTGTCTCACTGCTGGGAATATATACTCTACCTGTACCTGTACACATACGAAATGACTCACACAGCAAGTTATTCATCATCACAACATTGTTTGTAACAGCACAGTATTGTAAACAGCCCAAGTGTACAGCTATAGAGGATGGTTATGTAAACTATGGTAAACCCACACAGTAAAGGACAGTGTAGCTATAAGTAAAACGATGAGAAAGCCATCTGTATACTGATGTGGAAAGTTATTCAGGATATATTAAGAGAAATAAGATAGAGAAAAGTACTACCTTTTGTAGAAATGGAAAACAAAAAAAATATATTCATATTTATATATACATAACACCACAAAAACATAAGAAACTAAAAAAGTGGTCACCTATACAGGAAAGGGTAGTTACAGAATGTGGTAGACAGGGTTGTGAGGGAGAAAGAGAAGGAAACTTCTCATTCACTTTTTAAAGTATAATTTTGATGTTTGAATTATTAAAATGTACTACCTCTTCCAAAAATTAAAATAATTTAAAGATATAATGTAAAATGTCTTTTTCCCACTCGATTTTATTCCCCACAGGTAACCATTTTGATTAATTTCTTATATAGACTTATAATTTCTTATATAGAGTAGACCACTGTATTAGTCAAGGATCTCCAGAGAAACAAAAATAAGGGGGGGGGCGGGTGGGTGGGGGTGTGTGTGTGTGTGTGTGTGTGTGTGTGTGTGTAGAGAGAGAGAGAAAGACAGAGAGAGATTTGTTTTAAGGAATTGGCTTACATGGTATGGAGACTGGCAATTCCAAAATCTGAAGGGTAAGCTGATGGGCTGGATACCCAGGGAAGAGCTGAGTTTTGCACTATGCCAGCCACCTAGAGACAGACTTCTCTCTTGCTCAGGGGATTTCAGTTCTTCTCCTAAGGCCTTCAACTGATTGGGTGAAGCTCACTCACAACATGGAGGGTAATTTGCATTACTGAAAGTCTACTAATTTAAATGTTAATCACATCTAAGAAAAGCAAACAAACAAAACAAAACAGAAAAAGGCCTTTATGGCAACATCTACACTAGCATTTGACCAAAAACTGCCTAGGGCCAAACCAAGTTGACATATAAAATTAGCCATCACTGTCATGTACAATTATAACATGTATCTATATCTGTTTGCTTTTTTAAAATAGAAATATGGTTGCATATTATACACAGTGATAACACACCTTGTCTCGGGTGAGAACTTTTCATATTTTGAAAGAATAGGAGAAATCTCAAAGGAAGTATATACCTTTAAAGAATATATATATAAATTGGTAATTTTGTATTATGGAAGAAAGTACCTGATTAATAGGGAAACAACAGCCTAGGAAGTACATGATTAAAAGGGAGACACATTTGGTCGTGGTTAATGTTTACATTATCTCAATGCTCCTGCAAACTGAAAAGGGAAACATTGATTCCACAATCCCAAGAGCCAACTCAAGGAAGGAAATCTGCAGCTAGCCAGGAAAAAACCTTTTAAGAAATGTTTCTCCCGCTAACACTCTCAGAAATGCAAAGTGAGTCTGGTAAAACTTAAGTATATATTAAATTCACTTTTAAAAAAGGGATAAGCAACATTGTTACAAAACTTGGAGGCAAATTGCAATACTGGTGTTAAAGTAGCATTTCAAAAACAGTTTGGCAAGATGAATCACATGCTAATAAAATCATGCCCTGTGGCCCAGTAATCCTTTTCCTGATAACTAATTTTGAGGAGATAATTTAAAAGATGGTAAAAGGCATAGATCATGAGGATGTTCATTATAATGTTCTTTGTACAATCAGAGAAATGGAGACAAGCTAAATATCCTGAAGGCATAAGAACACAGGCTAATTATGGTTCATTACTTTCATGAAATGTAGTCATTAAAAATCAATACAAAGACTAGCAACATGGCAAATGTGCATTATTTAATGGTACATATAACAATTATGTCTTGGCCTTGATTACAATGAATAGAAAACTGTACATGTGGACAAAGACAGGAATATGGAAACCTCAAAACAGTTTATCAGAATTAGATAAACTGTTATTAGAATATCAGAACTGTGTGACATTTTTTATTTTGTTTTAGTCTTATTAATATTTGTCTTCATTCATTTGTGCTGCTATAACAAAATGCCATACTCTGAGAGGCTTATAAACAACAAAAATTTATTCCTCACAGTTGTAATGGTTGAGGTGTCCCCGAGATCAAGGTGCCAGCAGGTATGTTTTCTGGTGAGGGCACTCTTCCTGGTTCATAGATCTTTTTCCTGTGACCTCATATGGTGAAAGGGAGCCAGCTAGCTCTACGGAGTCTCTTTTGTAGGGGCACTAATCCCAATCATGAGGGCTGTATCTTCATGACCTAAGCACCTCCCAAAGGTCCTACCTCCAGATACTGGCACATTGGGGATTAGGTTCCAAGCAGTGGATTTTGGGGTGATGCAAACATTTAAGCTTATGGCAATATTGTTATTGTATAGTATTTTTATGTAATTATAACTTTTAAAAAATTAACAGCAAGTTAATATTGTCTCAGGCAGTAGACTCAAGTTGGAGTGATCATTTTGTAATTAGAAAAGACTTTAAGAATCATTTGACCCTACCTATCATCCACTCCCATCACTGGATGATTGCAGGTGTGGAATCTAAAGTCAGAGAGCTTGTGGCTCGCTTACCTGGGGAGATATTGCAAGTGTTGGGACTGAGAGCTATCATTTTCTTCTTGGAAGCTGGCCATCTCTCTATCGATTATGCTGGGAGAGATGCTTCAGAACCTTTAGATATTAAATCTATATAACAGAACAGAAAAATTGAAAGCAAACTACATTCCCATATCAATGTAATTAGCTCTGTTTCAAATATTAAACAATAGCTAGTGTTACTCACTTTGTAGTTATTAAAGTTGTTTCATTAAAATTATAATAGTGCTTCATTCTACAAAAAGACCTACCAGAGTATTGTTTATCTTTGTTCCCACCTTAAGCTTCAGATTAATTTTTTTACAGTGAATACAAGTATATAATAAATGAAGACCCAATGAGGAAAACATTGGTATATTTCATTGTGTTTTTCAGATTTATGTCCTTCCATCACTTGATCTTTTTTTCAGATTGAAACAGTTTCTCAGCATCTATGGCTTTCTGCTTTCATTTGTTCACTTATTCTCCAAATTTGGGATGTACTAGTAGAGATCATCTTCACTGTGAGAAGTTTCCCAATTAGCAAAATGGATTTACCAAGCAGGAAAAAGATGTTTGGATATGCCTAAGTCCCTACTAGTGCCTGCCAGGAAAGCGGATTTGATGTTAATTCCTCTGATGAACTTGTCTTTCAGGGTGGATCACTTGTACACATTCTTTGTTCAGTGGTCTCCTGACGTCTATGGGAAAGATGCCAAAGAGCAAGGCTTTGTGGTGGTGGAAAAGGAAGAACTGAATATGATCGACAACTTCTTCAGTGAGCCAACCACCAAGAGCTGGGAGGTGAGTGCTCAAGCAGGGGCTCTCCTGTCGTGGTCCTTAGACCTCAGCATTCAGTCAAAATGTTCTTGTGTCCGGATTCCAAGAGCCCCTTGCTTTACGACAGAGTCGGTTCCCTGTGCCCCTTTGAAGTTACAGTCTGATATAACCTTAGTCCTGTTTGAAGCTAGTTATGTATGTCAGCAGGGTGACCCCACCACCACCACTGGGCCATTTCACTCCCCTTTTCAAAAACCGACGCTGTGTCCCTTTTATGTATAGCATGAAATTAAAGCTCCTTACTTTGGCTTGAAAAGCCCTTCATGGGTTTGGGTTTTTTTGGGGGGGGGCCAGTTTGAGCACTTACCAAACCCTTCCGATGTTTGGGGCACAGTGGCTGAGATATGTAGAAGTTAGCACTAAGGAGTTTAGATAAAGCATTAGATTATAACAAGAGATTTGTCATTGTAAATGAAGTACCAGGCTCTACAAGAGGCTGTAGCCAGTCATCCAAATGGAGCAGGGGGAGCAGGGAAAGCTGCCCAGAAGTGACCTGAGCTGAGATCAGAAGCGCAAATGCAGGCAGTTGCGGTGGGAGTGGGACATGGGACATGTTCTGGCCAGAAAGAAAATCTGTGCCGAGAAATGACTCAGGGGAGAAACAGAGAACATAGGGCATTTTTTTTTAAATTTATTTTTTGTTAATCCTCCCCTGAGGACATGTTTACTGACATTAGAGAAACATCTGTGTGAGAGAGGAGAGAAACGATGATCGGTTGCCTCCTGTATCCATCCCAACTGGGGATCAAACCAGTAACTTCATCATGCGCCTTGATCAGGATTGACCCCACAACATTTTGGGGTATAGGACGATGGTCCAACCAATGGAGCCACCAGCAAGGGCGCATGGAGCATTTGATGAACTGACAAAATCCGTGTAGCTAGAGCATAGAGTGCAAAGCTGAGGAAATAGCAGGGAGGGAAGCAGGAGAAAGAAGCAAGGACAGATCACGAAGGATCTCTGTACCCAGTGTAGGAGATTGTTTTGGTTCTTTCCCTAAGGGCAGCAGGGAGCCGTGGAGCTGTTTTGAGCCTGGAGAAGTATACACAGAGGTGCATGTTTGGAGAGCTCTTTCCGCCTGGCAGAAGGACAGTAGACTGAGAATGAGAATGGGAAGGCCCATTAGGAGGCTCTTGCAGAAATCAATGTTGAGAGAGAACAAGTGCTGGAAGCGTAGCAGCAAGGATAGAAAAAAATTGAGTGCTTTTGAAAGATAGGAGGCAGAATACACAGGACTTTGTGAGTAATTGATTGCCCATGGAAAGCACAGAAGATGTCAAGATTGATCTCTTAGCTTTTAGAGTGGGAACTGAAGAGACAGTGGTGCGTGCTCTTCACTGAGATAAGGAGCACAGCAAGAGGGGCAGATGTAGAAGAAAACACTCTTGTGTTCTGGTTCTAATCGAAATTTGAGGGACCCGTGGTATGCCCACGAGACAACCGAGTATGAAAGTTAGGAAAAAGATCTAAAGCTATACTTTAGGAAATCATCAGCAGAGTTGAAGTTATGCGTGTAGATGACGTCACCCCAGGAGAGTGGAAAGTGGGAAGGGAGCAGGGCCCAGAACAGAACCTTAAGGGTCCCAGCATTAAAAGGCCAAAGACAGTAGCGCCCACAAAGGTGACTGAGAAGGAGCAGCCAGGGAAGGTGGAGGGAAACAAGGAAAGACATGTCTTAGAAGCCAAGCAGAGAGAATGTTTCAAAAGGCAGGAAAAATGACATACTGTCAATTTGACAAAGAGGAGTCAAAAAAATAAGAACTAAGTGATGTCTTTTGGGTTTAAAACCAAGGAGATAGTTGGAGACTTTGATAAAAGCAGTTTCATTAAAGGGATGTGTCCAGTAGTTTAAAGAATGAGTAGGGGAGAGGGGATTGGTAGATGGAGCTGGTAAAGGGGGGCAAACAACTCAAATTTGGTTTTGGAAAATTAAAAACGAGGTAAACTATTAAGCTGGAAGAGGAGGTGCAGTTGGGAGGACTTTCCCTCTTGTTAGAGAGACTTTTTAACATTTTGGGTGAGGTCAGCAGGAATGATGGTTGGAAGAGGAGGGAGAGAGGGAGAGAATGTCAGGGGAGGGGATCCCTGAATGTCCGCAAAGGATACAGGGATGGGGTTGGGCCTAACCTCAGATTGGTGGTCAGACAGTAGAAAAGAGTAGGTGGTGGCAAATAAAGTGTAGATTTTAGGTAGTAAATTGTGAATGGTTTCTTTGAAGCAAAAGGAGGGGGCATCTCCTAGAAGTGAAAGAGGAATTAGAGGAATATGGGGAAGGTGTGAAATGGCAACTCCAGAACTGGGAAAATGCTAACGGTGTGTATGAAGGCCCCCTTGTAGTGGGCACCATACTTGGATAAGGACACCAGGCTGCAGTGATGGATGATGTTCTCCAGAATCATTAAGCGGGCAGTTGGATTCTTCCAAATCTAGACCTTTGGATGATTGGAATGACCAATGGTGATGAGGCTGGCCCCTGAGGTCTAATCCTTTCTGGAATGCCAAATCCTTTCATACACGTTTTTGCTGTCCCTCTTTCCTTTCCCATTCACTCCCTTCAAGTCCAGCTCATTTGTCACTTCTGCGATGCTTCCCGGAATGGTTACTCCTCCTGGCCTCCTAAGCCCCTTGTTCATAACTCTGCAGTGTATCGCCCAGGAGTTCTCTCATTTACATGTGTTTCTCCCCATAGTTCATACACTGCTCCTTTGAGACCATTGTTTAAAGATTTCAAAGCCTGTCTCTTAGACTCTCCCTCCCATAGCTTTGTGTACACCTCTTTCTCCCAAGCTGCTGCTTTAGAGCTCATAATTGCCCTGTAGGCACTGCTGAGAGTCTCCACCAGACAGGGATTGTGTGGCATTGGCATTCTGACCAAGGCACACGGGAATATCAAGTCTTGTCCTCACTCCTCACCTAGCCTTCGCTGCCCAAGAGGCCCCGTGAGGTTTGTGCACAGAGGAAGCCACGTCTGAAAGGGTGTGTCTTCCTACCAAGGCTGTGGTCTCTTGGCCTGTTGTGGAGCCTTAGAAAGATTTAGGTTACACTGAAGACTTAATCCTTTCCTCAGTAGGCCTGACTATTTTGAGCCAAAGCAGTTCTCCTAAGGCCTATTCTGCCTCTTCTGCCACTAATTCCTACCTTGAATCTCTTGACAATGCCAGTGAAAGAAGAGGCCACACCCACCAGTACCAGGGGCTCAAGTGGTATTTAGAGAGAGAAAGGCCTGCTTCGGAATCTAGAGCCAAATGGAGGCTTGGACAGGCTGCCCCAGGCCTTCTCAGCTTGAGCCACTGGGAAGAATGAAAGGGGGCAATCCCTCTAAACCTGTAGTGAAAGAGGAAGAAAATTGGTGGTCTGTTCCAGGCTCCTAGTGCTCTGGCTGCAAGGCACACAGGGGAAGAAAAGAGAACTGGAGAGGTGACTGGACCAATCAGGCCACCTTATCCCTATTTTCTTGCCACATGGACAGAGTTCAAAAGTATGACATTAAGGAGGCTGCCCATTTCCCTCCCATACAGGGGCCAGCTCTGCTCACTGGCCTTCCTGTAAGGCCAAGCCTTTCTCTCCCCTGTGGGTGGGGAGGAGGAACCTCCCCTCCCCTAGGAGCTGCAGGGGTCTTATTCTCAGCAAGCCCCAAGCAATATCTTCCTCCCAAACCTGGTTCTCCTGTATTCCCATCTCAATTGGTGATGCTGTAACCTAGCAAATGGGACGTGTTCACGTGGTGCTTCGGTGCATGACCCAGTACTGGAAGGAGCAGGTCTTTATTTACAATATTCCAACCCTGGGGTGAGGGGGTGGCTCAGAGCACTTATGCTTGGAGCCCCCCTTTCCCATGAGACCCAGCACTTCCCTTGTTCCACAAAAGGCTATAAGGCAAACGCAAGCACAATAGTTCCCCATATTCTTATCTCAAGCTGGCTGCACAAACAGTTCTCCAGTCCCTCTGGAAGGTACCAAAGTTGCCATCCTCACGCAGCAGCTCTCTCCTTCGGGATCTGGGGTACGTTGTCCTCAGCCTCCATGTAATAGTCCCATAATACATGAGTCATGGTGCACTGGATCATAGTGAAGTACAGGAGACATAAGTCTCAAGAGTTCAGTTGAGGTCCAGGTTTGCAAGGCAGCAAGTCACTGTCTTGTAAGGGAGAGTCTCTGGAGTCAGCTAGAGCAGGCACGGTCAGAGGAGCAACACACCTCCTTCCTTACTCCACCTGGCGGGATCCTGACTACCAACCACATAGTTGCCTGCTTACTTCTCCCTCTCACAGGGCTCTTCTACTCCCTTCCAAGCCGCCTCGCCTCCCGTATTCCCTCATGGTGCTTCACCCTTCCTTTAAATCCTGCAAGTCACACCTTTTCCCCCAGGGTGGTAGCACAAGCTACTATAACTATTAAACTAGCTACCAGCTCGCCATAGATAAGCAGAGTATCTTAATATGTATTATCAGCTTCTAAGGCCTCCAGGGTTTTCTCCTATATTCCTGGGCCCCCCTCACCCCGTACCCCGTTACAGTGCTCCAAGCCAGAAACCTTCCCAGATTCTTCTTCATCATCACATCTAGTCATTCATCTCTAGGCAGAATGTTCTGGATTCTGTTCTTAAATGTGCAGGGTCCCCAGCTCCCCTCCGCCACCACCGCCCCAGTCAGCCGGTCTGCGCCCGTTGCTGGGACTCCCAAAGGCACTCCCAGTTCCAACCCTCCCAATTGTTTATCCTCCCATATGCAAGCTCCTTAAGTAAGTTTTACTTCCTAATTTTATCAAAGCAACACCTGCTTGTTTTAGGAAGTTATAAAACGAAGATGCAGAAAATTTAAAAATAGTGTCTACCGAACATGACACTTTTGTACCTTTCCTTCAACTTCTTTTTTTCTTTTCTGTTTTAGGGTGTTTTCTAGGGGATGAGGCTGGAGTTAAGTCTTCTCATTTGTTTTGCAAAATGGGATCAAACTCTCTCTATAAAAGCATTTTATATAGAGAAAAGCCAGTTTTGTACCTGCCTTTTCTCACCTGAAATACTGTAATAATTATCATAGTAAAGATTTTTAAGCTGCACTTTTAATGGCTGTGTAATATTGTGTCTCAATCATGACTCATTTAATGGTTCCAAACTTTCAGGAATCCTTGTGCTGATGCAAGGTTTTCACTAGGATGAGATAATCTGCAACTTGTAGCTTCTTGAAAATGAAACTACATGGTATAAGGGTGCTAAGGCTTTACACAATGCCAACTTGTGAGCAACGGGAAGGAAACTCTTTTGTGCTTCTGCCACCAGAAAATATTATGATTGTGACTCCTGTTTAAAAATGTTTGCTAATTTGGAAGTTGAGAGATGATACATTTTAATTTTTATTTTCTTGATTAGCAGTGAGGATAGAATGACTATTTGTATGTGTGATCATATCACATCATATATACTCCGTTTCGCTGTTGTGATGCCCACCCATTTTCTTTGCCATTTTCCTAAAGGGATCTTAATAGTTTCATCGTGCTGTTTGAGCTCTTTGTGATTAAAGATATTAATTCTTTGTATCCTGTATTTTTGACAGATACTTTCCTAGTTTGTCTCTTCCTTTTATTTATGTTTTTGTTAAGGTTTGTTATGATAGTGCTTTTATGTATAGTTGGCCCTGTGCAATCAATTTAAACTCTACCCATTCTGCAGTTGATTTGCCGCTATATGATAGGTAATATTTTTAACTGCCAATTTTTTCAGCACTGTTTAATGATTTGTGATGTGTTCTTCGTCATGTTTAAAAGTCTTGCGTATGTGCTGTGCTGTCTGTTTAACTTGTTTTCTAAGTAAGTGATCAGGCAGATGATCACAAGCGTGGTCTATGGGACAAATACTCACTGGTTCTCCATTGCCCAGAGCAGTCATTACCCACCTGGCCAATCATCCCAACCACCACTTGGCAAATTATTATTTTTTCAACTGAATCCTAGACCCTCACCACTAGAGACATTAATTCAGTGGGTCTGGGGGAGGAATGTTGGAATCTGTATTTTTAAAAGCTCTTAGATGATTCTGAAGAACAGACAGGTTTTAGAAATACTGTCCTGTAAGTTCTATGCCCCTTCATGGCATCAAGATTCTTCAGTTTCTCCTCTTCCCGTCCCTCCCCTGCCTCCTCTCTACTTCCCTTGCTCTCTATTCTCAAGCCATACTGAACCTAGGACACAGCTGTGTGTTACTGCTGTCCCCTTTACCTGGACATTTCCCATACTCACCCTTTCCTGTGAAGCTGAGTAAGCAATCTCAAAATTCTCTAAGTGGCCCCAGCCTCCTTTGAGCTGCTATTAGCATTTGTCTCACATGGAATGGCATTCATGTATTTATAAATGTCTCTCTACTGTCTCCTCACCCCCAGACTACAGACCGCTTTGCATCCCTGTGCCTGACAAAGCACCTGGCACCACCACCGTCATATAGAAAGCATGCAGTAATTGTTAGCTCTCTTATTTCACTTAGCGTAATACTTCTCGGGTCCATCTGTGCTGTCACAAAGGGTAAGAGTTCCTTCTTTCTTACAGCTGCATAGTATTCCATTGTGTAAATGTACCACCTCTTTCTAAGCAAAATAAGCCAGTCAGAGAAAGACATCCCATATGATCTTACTCCCATGTGGAATCTAAGGAACAAAATAAGCTTACAAACAAAATAAAACCAGAGACATGGACATATAGAACAGACTGACATATCTCACAGGGGCAATGTGTGGGGGTCTGGAAGAAATTAACCAAGAACATATATGCACATATGCATAGCCCATGGACACAGACAACAATGTGGTAAAAGCCAGGGGCGGGGCACTGCTGGGCAAAGGAAGGAGGGAGAGGCGGACACCTGTAACCGTGTCAACAATAAAAAAAGTTAGCCACCATGAAGTGCAGGGGCTTAAAGACATGCCACCTCACCGGCACAAAATGCTAGTGATTCTGCCCCAGGTCGTGTCCAGGCTGTTGTGCTGAGAATGACTTCTGGCTGACCGCGACTGGCCCCAGGTACCTGCCAGAGTCTTCCTTAGGGCAGACCCCCAGGATGAGCAGGGCCAGAGCACTCCCGTCCCCTCTGCAGGACCAAAAGGCTGTTTGGGATCTGGAAAAGTCACAGAAAGAGCACTGAAAATTGATCCACAGTGTTCTGCATTTCTTTCCACCCCCCTGACATTGGATCTGGGGAGTAGAGCCCGACTCATCATGCTTCTTAGTCTTTAAGATTAATATCCTAACGTTGTGGTAAACACAAAATGCCACATACAGATGATGCATCATAGAACTGTACGCTTGAAACCTATATAATTTTATTAGCCAGTATCACCCCACTAAAATTAATAATTTTTAAAAAAATATTAATACCCTAAAAAGTATAAAAGTTTACCTTTTTTTAAACTTTGCCAGCTGTTTTGAAAAACTGAATCAAAATATACTTTTTTCCCAGCCTCATATAAACCAGATGTTTTCGCATTCTTTTAAGTTGTGCCCACTTAACAAACATGACATGATATTGAAGTGAAATGCCATTGTTCTAAGTATAATGAACTTCGGGTAAAGTCTCCTTTTCATCCTTCCCATGAGATTCAAGCTGATGTCAGGGAAATTACGTATAATTTAAAATGGAGGGTTAGCTTTAGAGAAGGTGCTGAAAAAAATGCTGGAAAGTCAGGGTTAGAAAAGCTAGCTTAGCCGAGGACAGTTAAGAAGAAAAAGAAAAAACAATGGGATTTGTTGTACTGTTAGGAAACCACCATTTCAAAGGTGAAGTGTCATTTTACAGCCTCACAGCTATGCCTGGCAGGAAGTTTGTGTTTGCTCTAAATCCTAATTTGGGTGTGTTCCTGTAGAAATGTTGAACCTTCTCCTAAGGGAAACAGAAACTCAACCATGCAGGAAACTAGATACTGCAGAAACGGTTGTGGCTCAGCGTGGTTCTAAGTAACAGTGTGTGGAGGCAGATAGAGAAGAAAACCTCTTCCTCATTAGAAAGCAAGCAGGCAGCTCTCACCGGATCACGGATCACGATGAGAGTCCGAAGACTGCCCTTGGACATTCAGATTTTCTATTGTGCCAGACCTAACCAAGAACCTTTTGTCAAGGTATGTTGTAGCCCCCGATTAGTAATTAGGTGCCTGTGAATCCGCAGAGATTGGCCCCTGAGTGTGTTTTGAAATGTTTTCTTCATTAGAAAGGATTGTGCTGGCATTTCAACCAGAGCAGGTTGTTTTATTTGTTTTGAAGATGGGTATGGTGTGCTTTGCCTCCCTCTTTGAAGTAAAAAAATCTGTATTTGATTTTTTTTCATTCCACAGCCTCATTTTGAACCTCTGTTAAATGTAGAGTTCACCAAGAAAAAAAAAAAGTGCTTTATTTAATACATTGAAAATGCTGGATGTGTGATTCTATGACAGTGTTTTCTTTAAGAATTTCCCCTTGAGAAGCTGGTAAAATGTATACGCTATTTTTCTTACCTGTGAATCTGGCACAGGCGATGGCAGGTACTTTAGATCTATGACCATGCATTTTGGAAATTGAGTAGTGCATTATCTGACAACTTTTACCAGATACAACTTAAATGTTTTTCTCTATAATGCAGAAGTCATTAATATTGGTACCCAGGAATTTTAGCAAATTAGTCACTTTGTGTGTGTGTGTGTGTGTCTATGTGCTTGTACCTTCAATTTCAAAATAATTCAGTGATTTATCTACACTTTAAGAAGGGCAAAAAACAGATTTTTAAGGGGAAATTTACTTTGGTACTTCATAAGCTTAGTTATAATGAAATAATGTTGCGTATAGCATCATATTTCTCAGTTTTGAAGGAAAGTTTACTCTGGTAGTTTCTGAACTGTAGGAATCGTAACCCAATTGTAATGTAGACTACATTTGTATTTCTTTGGATTGTTGCTCTGGTAGCTGTTACCGTCTGACATTTCTATCAGGGCTGGTTGCTAAGTGCACAATCTTAAGAGAAAACATTAGGAGTCTTAAAAAAAAAACTACCTTATCTATCCAATATCCCTATTTATAGATGACTTGCTCATAGAATGATCTCTGATAGTCCCTTAACAATTTAAATTGATATGCATGCTAAAGGAGAATAATTAAGGGCACTTCAAGGGCATAAGTTGCTTGTGGAGTTATACATAATTCTTGCTCAAGGACTAAGCAGTCAACAGCAAAAGGAAAGAGGAAAACTTGTGAGTGTAACCTGTACATATTAAGTACCTCAGCTATACTGTGTTAAATTCTGCATTTGTTCCGAAATTGAAAAATTAGCCATTTCCCAAAGTCCCAGTTCAATTTACATCCTGCTGCTAAAACTCCACCTGTTGCGGGAAAAGCAGATAGATCGTGAGGCGGGTTTTGGCTTATCTGTTTTCTGCATTTCAGATCATCACGGTCGAGGAGGCAAAGCGCAGGAAGAGCACGTGCAGCTACTATGAAGACGATGACGAGACAGCCCTGCCGACCCTGCAGCCCCACAGCGCGCTCCTGGAGAACATGCACATCGAGCAGGTGGTCCCTGGGGACTTGGGGCGAGGGTCCTCCAGCCTTACAAAGCACTTCCCAACCCTGACCACATGTGCTCATTTCATTCCGGGCGGTGAAGGGTGAGCCAGGTTTTAAAGGAAGATGGCCAGCAGCCAAAGGGAGGCCAGGGTCCCTTTCTCCGCTTCCGAAAGGGATGGCAGCGCCCCCTGCTGCCCTCTCGGGTGCGTGAGGGCTCAGGCAGACAGCACGTCCAACTCCCAGGCCTGAGCAAAAAGCCATTTCTGGTTTTCAAAACAGTTTTTAAAGTGTTCTACCATAGTCCTAGTACACTTAGAATCCAAGTTTATCCTAGTGATTACTGCCCTCTTCCAGTGTTTTTAATTTACTAGGCTCAATAAAAAACATATAGCAAATACACTTTATTTGCTTTATGAAAGCTACCAACCAGTAGGAAGAATTTTCCTTTTTCTGTAGTTTTCCTTGTATACTTTATGTTTTCTGAAAAATGTGTTACTTCTGTTTTATGAAATATAGAATGTGCTTGCATTTGATCTTTAGTCAGGAATCTTTCACTTCCCCCATCAGTCAGCTTAGACCTGAATTTCAGTGACGTTAGGGAATCATCAAGTTCAATACCTTCAATTTACAAATGAGTTGACAAAGGCCTGGGAAAGCCAAGAGATTTGACCAAGTTGCAGAAATGGGGTTTAATCTAATCCTAGAACTGATGTTCAGCATTCTGAAGACTTCAGTACTTCCTACCCTCCTTTGTTAGTATTTTTGAAAAGATGCATTGTTGGTATTTATAGTAGTCAAGTTTAAGCTAAGTATTAATGTAGTGAAAGATACAGGTGCAATGTGGACAGACTACATCTGACTACTAGCATAAAACACTGTATGTTCTTGTTGTCACTTCTGTGGGAAGCTACAGTCGCCAGTAGCAGCTCTGAGCCTTTGAGGGTTTAGAAAGAACAACTGAAGAAACATGCACTATGTGGTGAAAGCCAGGTTGAAGTGCAAAACAGAAAATACATCTAATTCATACTTTTTTAGCAAGCTAGGTGCTGTTTCTCCCAATGTCTAATGGCATAAGGAACCCACAGTCAGGCCCTTGAGGGTAAAAGCGTGCTCTGGGCAACGTTCTGCTAAGGTAAACACCAGCAAGGAATGATTTTCCCTTCCCTCTCTTGGTTTATAGCAGCAAATATTTGCCAGAGTAAAGGGGAACAATAGGTAAATTCATGTAATTTCAAGTTTGTTCCATAGGCACATACTCTGTGCTGCACGTTCATGAGTGGTCTGTGGGTGAACTGTGCATTTACATGTCCATCTTTGGATTCACAGCTGGCCCGACGCCTTCCAGCAAGGGTACAAGGGTACCCATGGAGACTCGCGTACAGCACATTGGAGCATGGGACCAGCTTGAAAACTCTCTATCGGAAGTCAGCATCGCTAGACAGCCCTGTCCTATTGGTCATCAAAGATATGGATAATCAGGTGAGGCTTGTTCCTCTCTTAGAAAACATTTCTTTGAATGAAGATTTTATGGAGATTTTTCAAATGTACACAACAGTAGAGAGACAAGTACAATGAACTCCTGTCACTGAGATTCCGCAAGTTAGCAGGATTTTGCCACATAAGCGTCATCTGCCTTTTCTTTGCCGGTTTTTCTTTGCTGAAGTGTTTTGAAGTAAATCCCAGTTACTGTCACACTTCAGAATGCATCTCTAAAAAAGGAAATGGAACATATTTTCAAATAGAGTCACATTTTAGGAATTTTTTTTGTATGTACTTACCACGTAGTAGAAAGAAAGCTGAAATGATTTTCCACAACCTAAAGCTGGAGAAGTTGGAGAAAAGTCAAGTCTAGGTTTAGAGTTCATTGCAGAAAGAAATTCCAGTGCCATACCAGAACCCTTTCCAGGTAGCTGAAGCAGGGCCAACAAACCTTACCTGCACAGTTGCTGAGGTGGAGAGCCAGTCAAGGCCATGGAAGGGCCCAGTTGTTATGAAACAGCAGGGAGACTGCTCTGTACTATGGCTCATTGCACTTTTACCTCTGTTGCAGTCAGTCTTGCAGACACTGATGAAATCTAGATATTTCTCCCATCTACCTGACACTAGTACTTCTCACCTCAATCAGCTTGGCGTGCAAGTAGAATCTTCCCTGGATTCTTTTATATACTACCCAGTCAGGCTCTTGCTTCACAAAAGGAAGGCATCTTTCAAGTCTGTTCTTTCTTTATTTCTGTTTTGTCTATGATATATCAAGAAGAAATTCCTTCACATTTTTAAGCTGTGGATGCCATTCTTCTCTTTCTGGTACTGAAGGCAGGTTTTACTTGACAACCATTCATTCATTCATTCATAAAATGTATAATGAGTGCCTGTTACATGTAGGGCACTATTATTCATTGAGAAGCTTGCTGTGAAGCCATGTAATTGGGATCATTTTAGGGGAAATAGTTCTTTGCTGTCATAAGTTGCCTTGGGAAAAATTAGCAGAGAAATGGGGTACCGAAGCACCTTTCTCAACCTTGCTCTTTTCCTGGGACTTTATGGCAGCTTAAGAGTTCTGTGGAGTACTTTAGCTGTTATCATTGTTACTAGTATTATTTCCTGATTGATGGCATTTAATCGTGATCCAACTGAATAGTGGGTAGAGTCAAGTTAAAAATTAAAAATAATAATAATAGAGGTTTAATGTTGAATTATTTAGGGTTTTAGTGGAATGTTTGAGGAGTTGGGTGCAATGTTTTTGACAAGATATGGCTATGTGGCTTTAGACCCCATACACAAATCCTCTCCATAAGATTGTTAACTTGTTGGGGAATGTGTTGGCTGCATAGAGCGGGTGTTGATGAAGCACAGTTTCACCCAGCACCCTGTTAACAGATATGTAAAGGAGGCCTGTAACTGAAGGTTACACTGTTTGTCAGGGGTGAATCTTACCGAACCTGGTGCCTTCACGTCACTTGCATTGTTTAAAGACACCTAAACTCTAACTTTTTTACCCCATCCCATCCACCCCCAAGGCAAGAATGTGTTTTTGCTGTGTTTGAGAGTATGGTAGGAAAAAAAGTATAACTTTATCTGGAAATGAATTATATAAAATTTTAATAGAAAAATATTACATCCACAGAATGGCAGTAATTAAGAAGCTCTGCCAGTTCAATCCCCGGTGCAACAACCATACCGGTGGGAACTACAAAAATAATAATCACTTGAAGTCTCTGGAAACTGTCCTACGGGCATACAAATGAAGAAACATTTGTTCAAGAAAATGTAACAAATCTTGGTAGTAACAGTGAGATCGGTGGCACTGGAAGCACAGCCTGTGCCCTCCACTCAGCCCCCAGGTCAGACTGACAGAAGCTTCACTCTGGGCGTGTGCTGACCAGAGGATGGGGCTCCCTCTGCCCCAGCTCCCAGGCAAGGTCCCCGGCACTTCTCATCCCTGCCCCAGATCACTGCTTCGGAAGCTAAATTGCACGCAGGGGTGGCCTAGAGGGAAAGGACTGTCCTCCACCCTGCGCTTACTCACAGGGCCGATGCTGTACATTGGACATGGCAGGCTGAGAATACAGGGGTCTCTGCTGCCTTTGTCCCAGCCTGTAGGGCAGAGTTCCGTGCCAGGTGAGGTGAGCCAGGGCCAGCCTCTACCCTGCCCAGCATCCTGCTCATAAAACAAGACTATTTGAGAGAAGGAAGCTGCTGTCCAGCCCCCAGCTCCAGAGCAGCGCCCCTAGCTCCAAGCTCCAGGGGGAGAGACAGACCATAAGATGCGGAGCTCTGAAGCTCTCCTCAGTGGGACTGACTTTATGTGGGAGAGTATGGGGAAGTTCAAGCCAAAGGGCCTCCAGAAACAATGCCAAAACAATTATGAGAAGCCTGGTAGCTCCATTAAGACAACGAGCTCAACTGTAGACCATCTAGTTTACCAGAGAGAGACAGGGAAAGAGGCAGCCAAGGAGAGCCTTCCTGGAGTCAGCATAGACTCACCAAAGGAACTGCCCCTGCAAAGCGGCCTGAATTTCATCACGTTAGGCTGGAGTAACCACAAGGCACTATGGAAAACAACAGAGCAATTATGCAATTAACAGTCTGATTTATACTAAATTCCAGTGAGGTATAGAAATATTAATCCTATATTGCTCTACGATGTTATTCTACTTTTTGTGGTATTGTGTTATATATATTACAGTGATTAAAAACCCAACAATAAGTTGTTATGATTACTACTTTCTATAATTTTTTATCTACCAAAGAAGCTGAAAGAAGAAAAGAGCGCAATTATGCATTTGTAGGTTTTGGTTTTTTTAATATTAATCTTCCTTTATCACTTCTGGTTGTCTTCATTTAATCTCATAGATTCCTTTGTTCTCTCATTGCCAAATATATTAAATTTTTATATGTTATAAACCCAACAATATTATTGTATACATACTATTTTATGCAATTGCTTTCTAAAAAGTTCATAGGAAAAAATAAAATGGACATTTTCTTACATAACCGCAATGTTATAAACCTAACAAAATTAACAGTAATTCTCTAATATTATCCAATCCTCAGTCCTTAAACAGATTTCTACATTTGCTAAGGAAATTTTAGCAAAGAAAAATATAACTATTTAGACTCTTGGGATGGGGGGGTAAAGGAGTAAGTATGGCTTTTCCTATTCGTTGATTAGAAGGGAACCCAGTTTCTTCCATGTATGGTCATTACCCTCGTTATATTTTAGCACATGCTTTAAAAAATAGATGCGTATCTCAATTGTATTTTAATTCTTTTACTGGAAGAGAACCAGAAGAAAGGAAATGGATTTTTGATGTTTTTGTTCTTGTTTACTCTTAGCAGCTCTATGGAAAAGTTTGTAGCAGGAAGTCTGAAGAACATTGGTTAGAAAGGGTTTCTAGACTTCTACACTACCTAATTTTTAGTATTTCAAGAAGCCAGAAATTGAGTCTAACTGTTAAAGAAGAGGTTCCATAATGATTATAATTCAGTTTGAAAAGTGGCAACTTTACTCAGCTAATCTCCATTTAAAGCAGCGCTTCTCAGAAGGAGTTCAGAATAGAAAGTATGTCAGAATTACCTATAGACATTTTCAAACTGCATGTCCTCACTCTTGCCAGCCCTCACTCTGGCAAGTACTGATCGGGATCCGAGCAGAAATACAGGAAGTTGAGGCAGCAGATGTATGTATTCTGAAAACGCTGCTGCTTTTACTCTCAGCAAGGAAAAATAGAAGAATCATTGATTCCAATACATCCAAATCACCTTTAAAGTCCATAGTACATGAAATTATTTTTTTCTTAAAAGCCAGTTTGAACAAGATATATTGAATCAGTCATGTTATGGATACAATTTTAATAAGCGTATGAGAACTCATTTTTACAAATTGAAAAAGAAAAATTTATTTCTCTGGGGAAATGTCTAGCTGCAATTCCACTTACAAAACACATAAGAGGCATGGCTTTGTTCTCTCAACACTCATTTCTGTGTGCAAGATGCCTCTTGTTTAATGTTCCCAATATGTCATCTGTAGTCACTAAAGGAAATATGTCTCCCCTAGTGGACTTTGGAAGTCTTTTAAAAATGAAACAATTGTTGGCCTTTGACAAATAAGTCCTCTGAGCCACTTGGATTCCAGTTAGAGCTGGAGACATTTGCTATATCTCTTTGTTGGTGGTCTCTGACGTTCAAGAGCTTCAATTTAGTAATGATATTTGCTGAATGAGGTATAATGCGATCTCAGGATTGTGTTAAAATATTTCAGAAAGTCTTTCTGTGGGAGGTTTAGGTTTGGAAGCAGCTAACGCTTCTGTTTTCTTTTCACAGATTTTTGGAGCATATGCCACCCATCCGTTCAAGTTCAGTGACCACTATTATGGCACAGGCGAAACTTTTCTCTACACGTTTAGCCCCAATTTCAAGGTACCTAGATGAGAGGAATATCTGATTTCCTCATGGCGCAGTGTCCGGGGTGGGGGTGGGGGTGGGGAGCTGCTGCTGGAGCCGCAGCTGGCCTGTGACCGCACCTGGCCTCACTCAGGCTTCGGTCAGCCCTTGATGAAGGTAGTACCCCGCCTGCTTGGGGCCCCGCTGTAGGCCCCGGGAGCTGCTCATCAGCATGTTCTGGGATCCAGGGAGGGATCGCAGGTCAGAGTCCCATGGGCCCAAGAGAGCTTCCCGACTTCATAACCCTTTTGGAGATCACATCCTGCCAGTGGGTCGTTACAGAGGTGCTCTTCTAATGTTCCGGTTTTGCTAATTCTCCAGATTAAAATGTCTATTCTGTCTTGTGCTTCTACCCTAAGGTCTTCAAGTGGAGTGGAGAGAACTCATACTTTATCAATGGAGACATAAGTTCTTTAGAACTTGGTGGTGGAGGGTAAGACTTTTGTTGTTGTTATTAATTTACCACCTGACCTGAGTGGGCCTGTTTTGACCCAGGTAACCAAAACCTTGGTGTCAGGTGATTTTAGCAAGTCCATGTATGTACTTACATTAATTAGGACAGTGGCCTAATATATGGCAGTAAGAGTCAGAGATAAAATGATTTATTTATGTGTCTAAATGAGGGACTATTACCACTTGTCTTTTAGGAAAAACAGGTCATTTAAATGAAATAAAGGAAATGCCCCCTTTGTTTTATAAGCAGTTTAGGGGTTTTGTCTGTCTGTAGCATAAAGGGAAGATGACTGCGGTAAGGAAAGACAGAAAGTGGGCCACATAAGTTTGAAATGTTTCCACCTTTGTTTTTTTTGTTTTAACCTCTTCAGGGGACGATTCGGTTTATGGCTAGATGCTGATTTATACCATGGACGAAGCAATTCCTGCAGCACTTTCAATAACGATATTCTTTCCAAAAAAGAAGACTTCATAGTTCAGGACCTCGAGGTATGGACATTCGAGTGAAACTCAGGCTGCCTTAACATACAATAAAAAGACTGGGTTTGATCAGCCCCGCTAAAGCTGGCTGGAAGACGAAGCGCCCGCCTAGACTGCCTCATGCCGCCATGATGCTTGCTTTCTGCCGTCATCGCAGAGCATGATCCCATTGCAGAGCGAGCCTGAGGGGCGCGTGTGGAGGGCAGACACTGACCAGAGAGGTTGAAAGTCCAGATGGTTGAAAGACTTTGTACTCCCACTTTCTTCAAATCCATGCAGTGAGGAATCAGAGTATTTATAGATGTATGAGTCGAATGCAATTTTTATTTTTGGTAACTGTGAAAAAAAAAAGATACTGTGGAAATATATACATGCCTTGTGTATTTATCAACATAATTTTCATTACCAAAATGTACAGCATACTATTGTTTGCCATGGAAAAGGTTAGTCTCATTTAGAAAAATTGAAAGTGCATAGCACTTAAAGGGATATGTATATGATTTTTTTAAAACTTTTATTTATTATTTCTAGTATATTGTCTGAAATGTGTTGCCAGTTTTTTTTCTCTTAATGTGTCAAATCTTGAAATAAAGAAATGTGCTGTTTGGCAACAATTCCATTTGATTTATACAGTTTTATATTGAGCTTTTTTTGCCCTGATTGTTTAGGGTGATAGATCTTAAATTGTGTGTGTGTGTGTGTGTGTGTGTGTATGTATATATGCTTACATACACACACATATATATGCTTAATTGTGAATTTTAAAAACTCATCACCAATGTTCATTGATTTGACTATTGTAGGCCAGCTCTCCATTTAGTCATTAAAAAGGTACATTTTTAGTTACTTATTCTGAACACAGTTGTGTAAAGAAGAAAAAGCCATTTCTCATAGTTACAGCTTGATATTTATAGAACTGGATACCTTTATGAACATAGACTAGAACAAACCCTGCTTTTGAAATGAAAATGTTTTGTTTCTTATAAACTCATTTATTAGTAACAAAAACTTTATTTTCATAGTGTTTCTGCATAATTTCCCCCAAGTTTTTACACTAACAAACAAGCCTCTGTTTTTAAAGAGACTGCTTTGTATCGAAGGAAAAATATCCAATTAACCCAATTGCCTTGGTTTCTAGACTCTTCTATTTGAGAAAAAACAATGCAAAGATGCATTCACACCAGAATTGGAACAAAAAGTAAAACCTATTTTTTAACATCAATCCATTTTCACATCACAAAACACTTTTATTAAATATAATAATAAAACCTTACTAAAAAGTTAACCAATATTATTGATTGCCAGAATATTATGAAAGCCAAAGACTGCTAATGGAAAAAATTTTCAAATAATAGCCAAAGCTGAGAAGTGATCTGTCATAAATTATACCCCCAGTGACCTTGGAAAGAAAAAAATTAATAACAAAAGTAGTATTTATGTAATTGCATTTAGAAAAATAATACACTTCTTTAAGCCTTAAGCTGGCAGAATATTTTCTTGAGATTATTCTCTTATTTTAGACTCTTCATAAAGGAGAACAAACAAATTGCCAAGTGGCCTTTTGTCAGATCAACAGTTATTTTACTCCACTTACATTCCATGCAAGTTTAAATGAATGCTGTAACGTCTGAAGTCTGTAGCCTGGATGTGCTTTCCCCTGAGTTTTTCTATTGAAAATTCTTGATGAACAACATACTGGCAGTTTAACCCTAATGTGCTCATTAAATAATGTGTTGGTGTGAGGTATCAGGAATGTCTCATGATGATCACGTTTACCGGTTACGCCATTTGCAACCATATGCTATTAACAAAACAGTCATTTTGCATATAACTCACTCTTACCTAGTTTAGTCCATGATATTATACGTACTTGTGAGAGCATATCCAGATGCTGTGTTCTCTATTTAAAACAGTATTGTCCAATTCGAAATGTGCGGGCCTTCATTTATGGATACCGAATATATGTAATGCAGTGCTAGCCCAATATTTTCAATAAAGGAATTTATGCATTCAGTGTGATTTTCTTTCCTGAGGATTCATTCAACAGGCATTTATTGGATGTTAGAATTTTTACTTGTTTGAGAAGATGGTGAAATATCCAAAACTAAGGTCCGATGCTCATGTTTTTATTTTTATTGCCACCCTGGAAATGCCTTCTTCATTCCCTGTAGCCACCCTCCTCTTCTCTCATCCATTCATGAAAACTGCTTCTGTTGTAGTGACTAGGGACAACGGTTGGCTCAAAATCTGCTAGTTTCCTTGTTCTTAGTCCTAGCCATTCTTGGAATAGCGACCTTCTCCTCTTAACATCTCTCTTTTGACCTACTTTCTAATTTCAATGGACACTTTACCCTCTGACCAGTTTTCTTTGGCATCCTGTCCCCTACCCCTGAAGATGAACCCCTGAGCAATCTTCATTGCTTCTCACTCCCTCAGGTCATGAGTCAACCCCAAAGTACTTGGGTGGGAGGGAGCAATCAAATGTCTCACCAGACTCTGTTGAAAATGAGGTAGAGACGTTCCCATGTAACAGGCCCCCAGGGACACCCCAAACTAGTGTGAGAAGTAATATTGTCCCTCATTTGATTTTATTTGCCTTACTTCCTTTTAAAGTTGCAGAGGTATGTGAAACAAGACTAATAAAACAACTACTTTCCTTTAGAGGAAGGCATTGAAAATCTCTTCAGCCAGAAAGGGAAGCTAAGATTCATGTTCTTCTTAAGATGCCTGACCAATTTTTACCAATATAATCAGATAAAGAAAGGGAGATCAGAAGCCAAAGAAAATTTCAGAAACACAAAGTGAGTCATCCTCGCCCCTTGTGCAAGTATCAAAAGTACCTTTAACCACTTCCTTCTGCCTTAATCAGGTCACAGACTCCTCATTTAGGGGAAGTCCTATCCTCAAAGCATTCAGCCGCTGCTCCCTCTTCCTGGCCTATGACCATTATCCATAGTGATCTCTTAACAGACCATGTCTTCACACCAACATCTGACTTCTGACCCTTCTATTTCAAATCTCTAGTGGCCGACAATAAAAACTAAATAGGGCCTCAGTCCTCTCTAGTGTGGTCAATCGAGCCATGAAAATGATGTTTTCTAATAGAATATCTTTGGTGACCTGTTGTTTATCTTCTAGAATCAGGTGTCCAACCTGCAGCCCACAGGCCACATGCAGCTAAGGATGGCTGTGAATGTGGCCCAACACAAAATCATAAATTTACTTTAAACATTATGAGTTGTTTTTTTTTGTGATTACGTGTCACAATGTATTTAGTGTGTGGCCCAAGACAACTCTTCTTCTTCCAGTGTGACCCAGAGACGCCAAAAGTTTGGACACCCTGTATCTAGATCGATGCTACCCAATAAAACATTCTACATAATGGAAATGTTCCAGAATTTGTGTTGTCCTTCTCGGACAATGCAAGACTACCTACCATACTAGTCTTGAACTATTGAAATGGGACCTGGGTAATTGAGCAACTGACATTTTAAATTTCATTTCAATTAATTTAAATTTAGCCACATGTGGCCAGTAGCTCCTGCATTGAACAGCACAACCCTAGATCAAGGTCAAGATATGGCTCAACCAAATCATATTTCATCAGCAATGAACTCAGACTGGTACTTCCTCACCAGATATTACTCCATCACCAAAAATAACCTTTAGATCTCAATGCTTTGTTTTGGCTCCACTATATGGGTCTTCACACAGCTTCATACCACCTAATATGATAGTGTGTGTCTCACTGTTTAGGGAGTTAGCTAACAAAGCCACCAGAACTCTGAGTTCCCTGAAGGTCTTTCCAAATTGAAAACTTGGATCTCTATAGGATTATTGATCCTCATCACTAACCAAAGGCAAAGATTTCTCGCCTTGGCTATTGGCATGTGTTTTATTCTTATACTGGACAGTCTACTGCCCATGGCAGCCCTGTAGGATGCCATATCCCCCATCCACAATGCATGAGGGACCACACGACGGATAAACGGATTATTCCTTACATAGAATTGGGCACCCTTTCTCCGAACCACCAAGGAATAAAGGAATCACCAAGAATGCCTCAGGCAGTTCTATTCAATGACCAATTGTCCTTACTAAGCTTGCCAGCTGGGAGCTACATGCACACCCTGAGAACCTGCTTACACGCGGAGAAAGTTTCAGCATTATCCTGTTAGAATGAAGGGTGATCAAAAGGTGTAAGAGAAAGACCATTAGATAATTTCAGTGTCCTAGTCACCCATCAACAAGTGTGCCATCAACCACTCCCCTTCTAGGGTTAGAAGAAGTAACCCTGACCTAGCTTAACATAACCTTGAGGAAAATGCTAAACATGAAACACATTCACACTCAATAAACTTGGATGACAAGGCGTGTCTTCTCATGTCTCTGCAGCTAAAAAATCATCCTTACCCTGACACGCTTCAAAAACATTGGAACTCAGCCAGTCAGTTCAGCCTGCAATCCCCACAGCAATTTTTGGCTTAACCTCGATTTCCACTGGCTAATGAATCAGCCACATTTTACCTGAGAGCTGACTAAAACAGCCCTTTCATCTTTGAAGACTCCAATTAACAGTAAGAAAATTTATACAAAGATATGCTGCATTAAGGTGTCGACCTTAAGAGTTGTTAAAAGGCCCCACTATTACTCCACACCCAGTACGTCCTAAGCTTGTTCCTTGCAGTGTCAAGAAAGCCTATTGTAAGCTTTCTTTGAATGTTCGCAAAATTAGCTATGAATGATGTGTGTGCATGTGCACAATTTGCTTGGTCTATATTTTTAAAATGCATGCATTTTTTCATACATGAGGAGTTGCATAATTACAATTTCTTTGTGTTTTAGATCCTCCAAAGGGTCAGAAAAGTAGATAGGCTTGACCAGGGGTGTCTCAGAGTGAGTTGAGAGGATATGGCATGTGTCCCTTTCAGCAGGTCATATAATCAGATCACCCAGGCAGAACTCAACTTCTAAAGACTTCAAAAGGCAGCAAGCATAGCAGTTAAAGCATGAATTCTCTGCAGCCAGACATCCTGAGTTTGAATCTCAGCTCTAGAGTTTTGCAGCTGGTGAGCTTGTTGGTTAAGTAATTGAACCTCTATGGGCCTCGTTTTCCTGATCTATAATGTGAGGATACTAATATTGTAATAACAACAACCTCATGTTTGTATGATGATTAAGGCACTTAAAATAGTCCCAGGCATGAAGTAAGCACTACTTAGCATTAGATAAAATAATGGAGGAATGCCTTCTTCAAGTGGAGGAATCAACTAATGATGCGAAACTTGCAAAGGAAAGTTTATCTTCCAAGGCAGCAACTTAGTTTTTAAAAACTATTTTCAGACATATTGCAATGGCTTCTATGTGCTCTGTAGGCATTTTTATTTAGACATTATTTAAGTTTTCTTTTTTAAATTATGGAACTAATACTGTTCATGGTAGTTTCCAAACAGTCCAGAAGTGAACTCAGTAAAAGGCAAACATTTCCTTTCCTGCATTCCCAGAGGTAACAACCACAAAAAGTTCCTTGTGTTTACTTCTAGAGTATTTCTGTGCACTTATATATATATATATCTTCTTCATGTTAACAGACATATTATACATGCTGTTCCTCAGTTTGCCTTTTAAATTTAACGATGCACTGTGAACATTTTGTATCGGTATATGTGGACTTACCTCGTTCTTCAGTGCATGGGTCATCATTGCTGAAACAGTTCTTCATGAAAGGACTTTTTTTGGCTACTACATACAATTCTTAGAGAACATCCTTGTATAGAGAACTTTGTGTTGTTATGACTGTATATTTCTGAGATATTTTTTAGCAGTAGGTCAAAGAGTGTATGTGCTTTTTATTTTAAAAGATACTATTAATTATTCCTCCATAAAAGTTATACTAGTTTATACCAACTGTGTATGATATGCCAGTTAGTTACCTCGCACACTCTCATTACTAGTTTTATCAATCTCTTTCATTTCTGCCAAAATGGTATCTTATTTTAATTTTCATTTTATAATCATAAATGGTGTTGAGCATCTTTCCACCTGTGTTGGCTATATTAAATCTTTTTTTCCTGACTATGTCCAAGTCATTTGTCTGTTTTACTACTGAGTTATTCATAATTTTACTGATTTTTTCTTTATTATTTATTTTTGGAGAGAGAGAGAGAGAAACACCAATTTGTTCCACTTATTTATGCATTCAGTAGTTGATTCTTATATGTACGCTGACCAGGGATCAAACCTGCAATCTTGATGTTTTGGGATGGCACTCTAACCACCTGAGGTACCTGGCAAGAGCATAATTTTACTGATTTACTGATTTTACTGATTTGTAAGCTTTCTTTTTATGATGTTTGTGCATGTGCACAATTTGCTTGATGTATATTTTTAAAATGCATGCATTTTTCATACATGAGGAGTTTCATAATTACAATTTCTTTGTATTCATAGTTCTTAATCATTTCTGTTATAACTTGTGGACTGTAATTTTTTAGGTCAAGTCAAATTTATTCTGGATAATTTTCACTCCTTACTTAAATACCTTCCAAAGTATATATTAACACTATCCTCCCCATTATCTAAAATGCATTCTCCTGCTGACTTTTTTGCTAAATTACACTCCCAACCCCATTAAGAAATAACCTCCTCCAAGATCAGTTTCACTTTGCTCCAGCCTCTAATCTTGTTAACACAGGTCAACATCATCAGGAAAGGTCTTGTGACAAGAACTGAATGTTCATCTTAAGTACCTTCTTCCACTGAGTAGGCTACAGCTAAGCAAGTTTGATGGACATCTTCTGCCTAGATCTCCAAATTCTGCCACAATGACTTGCTGAGGAACAATCGATATACAAGTATTAACAATAATAATAGTGTTGAAGAAGAGAATGAGTGGTACAGGTAACACTTATTTATCATGACCCTCTTCTTTTTTTTTTTTTTTTTGGTATAAGCATTATCTTACTTGAGCCTCAAAACAAAGATAGTATAATTGTCATCTCTGTTTTAGGGTTGAG